TGTACATTATAAGCATATAGAAATAAATTAGAAAGTAGTGCAAAAATGACATTAAACCTATATGACGGTCGTTGATACAAATCCATTACACGCTTAGTATGCCTGAAATCACGGTCAAGTGCAACTTACTTAGCGACCAGATTTTGAAACGAAACACGGTCAGTGAGTAGTGGCCGTATTTTCTACCAGTGGTAGGTTTTCGGGTCCAGATAAAAACTAGTATTTCGAACGCTGATTTTCAAGGGGAACAGTCCCTGTCCAATTCCAAGATTGGCCCAACACTTTTTCATTTTTGTTTTGTGCTCCACTAAGCTTAATAAGTAGCACAAAAGGAAGAAAAGCCAAATTAAAAAAAAAAGAAGAAAAAAACATGAAAAGAAAGTTAAAAGAAAGACAATATACAGAAGTTTCCTCTTGTTATCTCTCTCTCTCTCTCTCTCTCTCTCTCTCTCTCTCTCTCTCATGCATATATATATATATATATATATATATATATATATATATATATATATATATATAATAATTATAGGTACCTCCAAAGAAAAACAATATGAAAATTAATCAACCAAGGAAAACTTATTAAAAATATACACCAAACCTCTTATATACGTATGTGTGTATTTTCTGGGTACAGATAATCTGATCATAATTGATTATTTTTTTTTTTTTTGCAATATAACACATTATGGGTTATTAAAAGCTGAAATATTTTTAGATTGTAAGAATAATTTTTTGCGAGTGAATACTGTATTAATAAATTTCGAGAAAAACAATAAATTTTCCAGATACAAGTTCTACTATTTAACCTATAGCTGCGGGATGAGATGGATTCATATCTTTCCCAAAGGTATTTTCACGTTAGCGAATGTAACAAACCCGACCGGAATTCAAACTCAGCTCTCCGATTTCACATTCGGAGCCGCTATCCATTACCCCAAGTGTCCATCCACACACTAATTATAAGTATAGGGTGGTCCGAAAGTCTTGTCACGCCCCTACCAAAAAGTAATGAGAACAATAGAAGAACAAGTAATACAGTAATACAAAACACACGTACTGGATTCCGTTTATTCATTTTCAGTAACGCTGTCACACACTGAGCAGGTCTGTATGAACATCATCATTTTCGTGTCAGCTATCTGAAATAGAAAATTATATAGGAGTAACAAAACTTTCGGGTCACACTACAAAAAAGTCAGAGCGTGAAAATAATAACCAACAAACAAAATCGAGATCGATAATCGGTAGTCTAAAGTAGAAATATACATTTATTTTAAAGAAATAATTTTCGAAAACTATTATGTATTTTCTTAAATATACCATAGTATATATATATATATATATATATATATATATATATATAGGATGATATATTTTGTACTCTAATTTATAATGTGAGGTTGATATAGTTAAGTATAGTTTTTCTTCTTAAAGTGTCTTTTATTTACGTACTATATATAATTTTGTTTGAATATGTGATTTCATTAAAAATGCCATAACATTTAAGACGCGACATTGTAAGTGTAATATGTTACTATCTTTTGGCGTTTTATTTCCGTTCAAATTTTAATTCTTCTCCTCTCAACGTGGCTTCATTGGTTTAAATTCGTATCAACAATTTCCCATATCTTATTTTTTCTCTTTCCTCTTCCTTTGTATCTATATAATTTGGATATACGCCTCTCCTTTTTCCTTTTTTTTTCCATTCGCTTGGTAGTAGGGTTGATTTCTTATGCTTTCTTATGCCTTTCTTTTCTTTCATCTTCCTTTTCTTTTTATTGATTTCTTATTTTCGTTCCTCTTTTTACTTTGAGGTTTTTTTTGCCTTTTATCGAAAATTTTCCAAAAATGTAAAAAGAAGTGATGTTTCATAAATTGTAATTTTAGATAAAATCGTTTATTACCATCATTGGTAACAATCTGATGAGACATTAAATGTCGAAACAAAATATGCAATTTTGTGGTATTAAATTGCATGTTCTAATGCAACAGTTTATAATAAATATTTATTGCTCTACTCTTCTATTGAGCCCATTTTTTGAAAATTAATGTTATGAACGTTTGAATTTTAGTCTTTTCGTTCTTTTACATATATGTTTGTGTGGTTTCTAATTCAACTCTCTTAATGATTCATCTGATAACTTCCGAATCATATCTCTCAAAGGTCGGCACTTGTGCGTCGTTTATTAAAATGACCCCATCATTCAAATAAAAAGAGAACTGATGACCCCTCCCACAAAAAAATAGGGATAACACTATTTATAGCCACGTTATATGTATTATGAGGAGAAAATAGGATGGAAAAATGTGTCTTATGAATTAACTAATTTATGTTTATATCAACGCTAGAGATCAGTGTTCAAACCAAGGTAAAGGCCTAGATCTCGAATGCTGATTTCCTCGCTAGACGGGCCAACTCAACTTGAAATATTGGCTTAACCCTATCTTCCTATTACTATCCTCTCGCTCTCAGTTTAGCCTTGAGTAATGGTAAAGGCTTCATAAATAAAGCCCAGTGAAGTGAAATAGAGTTGTTATTCATATAATGAAAGCTAACTCGTCTTTCTACTCTTGAAGTGTCGACTAACGACAGCTGTCTCTGGCGTCGGCACCATTCGGGGAATAAAGACATCCGGTTCGTATCCTATCAGCCAGGAAAGATGATTTGTATTTTTGTCACGACTTACGTTTTCTTTATCAAATTTCTCTCCCTTACTTATTCCTTCCTTTCATACACGTCTTCCTCTCCCTTGCTCTCCTTTTAAAATCTTTCTCTTCTTTTTGTTAGGTCCCTTGGTCATCCCAATAAATCTTCCTTGTTAACATGTTCTTTTTCATTTTTCTCTCTCTATTCAACCTAGTGTCCTCTGGAGATTTTATTACTTACCATAGCTTCTTATTCTTTTATGTGCCGTGTTCTTTCAGGACATAGGTGATCATAGCTTTTCACAGTTTTTTATCCATTGTAGCTCTATGCAATTTTTGTCCCATTACTGTCCTTCCCAGTCCATGTTCTGCCATCTAGTCACAAAAGTACGTTAAATAAATTACAAGCTGATTCCTTCTTCCACCTTTTGCCTTCAATATATATTTTTTTTATCTAATCACTTCACCCCAAGCAAGGAGCAAGGGGCTACTAGGAGTGAAAGAAAATGAGAAGACTTTAGAAACAACCGGAAACTCAACCCTAAGCAGGAAACAAGGGATAAAACTGTTCAAGAAACTCGGGAGTAGTGTGAACCGGACGATAGGCGAATCTACCTATTCCTATTTATGTCTTGTGGCTATCAAATTCTCCAAGCCCTCTTTTCTCATTATGTATAAATATAAAGGAAGTGATAAAATAAACCATTGTGTTACATTAGTCTTCAGTTGTGAATCTTTACTTTCCTTTAAAATTACCGTTACCTTTTGCTATAGTTCAAATACCGACTTCCTACATCAGTGGGAAAACTGAATATTTCAGCCACTTCTTTAGGTACACGTATCGTATGGTAAATTAAATTGCATTATCATTTTTTTCTTTCTTAGTCATACATGAGACACACCTGGCGAGGGTCGATATTGTGATTATTCGAGCGATCTAAAGCGAAAACAAATACTCTACATAAGTCAACAATGAAGGTCCCTGTTTTTATAGACGATGCAAACCTTAAGTGAATCAACTTGTTCAATTTGTATTTGATTTGGGGGATTTTTCTTTTACTTTAGCTTTCTTTCTTTCCTTTTGTTTTTGATCGCTTTCTCTTCGCTTTTCTTAGCTTAAAAAAGCTCAAGTCCAAATGGAGGAAAAATGTGTTGCATGAAAAATTACTTGGCTTGAAGATCAGTTTTCAAGTCTTGTCTTTCACATATCCGACACCTGAAACCAGTAGAGGATTTGATTGATTAATTGATTTGTTTTTAACGGCTAATCAACCTCTTTTATGTAGTTAAAGCCGAGACATATTTTGGATAGTAAGATTAATTCTTTCTTTCTTTCTTTCTTTTGCGAGTGAATAATGTATTAAGAATTTTTTGAGAACAGCGATTATTTTTCCAGATACGAGTCCTACTATTTAACCCATAGATGGGAGGAGGGATGGATTCACCAATAGAGTTAAAACTATTTCAGTCTCATCCACTGACGATAGATATATCTTTCTACTAAATATTCATTTTTATTTTATTTTTCTTCTTTACACTTCTTTATTTTAACTTTTCTTTTTCTGCATGCCTTTTTTGTAATTCTCTTTTTCAATATATTAATTCTCAATATGTTTTTGTCTCTTAATTTTTCTTATTTATTCTCTTCTTTGTTTTCTCTCTTCTTACTACTTTTTAAAGGGTTGAGTTCTCAGTAGGTGCCCCCATGACTATGGCTTTGTGCCAAATCTAATTTCTTCTGATGACAGGATTCGTCTCCCATGTAGCACTTCTCCATTTCTCTAAGACATGTCAGTGTTAATAGCCAAAGAAACGGAAAATTCTGAATGATCCACTATAATATATCACTAAATCGTGTGCCGTATCGGATGGATGTGCAGTTTGCCCTGCTCTAAAATAATTACCATTCTGCCATTGTCGGGTGGTGAATAAATCTCAGCTCTTCTTTCCTTAATTTCCTTTTCCTTTTCTTTCTTTCTTTCTTTCTTTCTTTCTTTCTTTCTTTCTTTCTTTCTTTCTTTCTTTCTTTCTTTCTGTCTGTCTGCCTGTCTGTCTCTGTCTGTATTCCTGTCTGTCCGTTCTTCTCGCTTCACTTTCAAATCAACTTTCTCTCTCTCTCTCTCTCTCTCTCTCTCTCTCTCTCTCTCTCTCTCTCGTCCTTTTTATGGGTTTTTTTAAACTCTGCATTGCACCTCCGTTGTCTTTGATTCTCTCTTTCTTTCTTTAATCGTCTTACCTATTTTTCCTTAGTATTTACTAGGTATAAATTCGTATGACATAATGCCAAACAGGTGTAGTAATTTTGTTAAACCAATCTTCTGATTAGAGCGTGTCTTACTGCATTGAAAAGAGGCTTACGGTCAGATCACATTGAAACATTGATTCCCGTACGATCACTGAAGTTAAGCAACGTCGAGCCTCGTCAGTATCTAGATGAGTGATCGCTTGGGAATATCAGGTGCCGTAAGCTTAAATATGCAGGTGATGTAATGAATAATTGATCGGAATTATTAATCGGAGATTTTTTCCAATCCCCGTTGGGTTTGTTATATCCACTTACGCGCAAATACCCTAGGGAATTTTTATGACCCTATCACTTTTCCCCCAGTTATGGGATAATTAATAAAACTTGTGTCACTAAATCATTATTATCCCCCCCCCAAATTCTTATAATCTAAAAATATTTCCTGGCTTTAAATAACCTGCAAAGGGTTGATAAGCCGTAGAAACTAATCACTCAATCAATGTCTTAAAAAACAGCATTTGTGATCCTAGCAATAGGTGGGGCTTGAACAGCCACTGGAGCAAATGGCAGATGCACAATTAACCTACCAAGCATCTAGCACATTCTTTCTTTCTTTCTTTTTTTCTTTCTTTCTTAATGTGTTTATATTTTTCGATCTATTTCTAAAAGAATTATCTCTTAGGTGCCGTGTCTCTTCAGGACGTGGACAATCATATTTCCCCACAACTCCCTATCCTTTGTAGCTCTAAGCAATATTTGTCCCCTTGCTATCCTTTCCAGTCCTTGTTCTGCTATCCATATATATATATATATATATATATATATATATATATATATATATATATATATATATATATATATATATATATACTGTTAGGTAGGTTGCTCACTGTTTCCATCTCCCCGTCTTGCATTCAGTATGTATCATGAGTGTCAAATAATCTAACCCCTCTTTCCTCATTATATGTCCTAGAAGCTTCAACTATCTTTTTTTTAAAATTCAAACAGTGCTTTTCGTTTCGTTTTCCTTAAAACTTCCGCGTTACTTACAAAATCCTTCTCTAGAACCATTTCCCTCTTTCCTCGAGTTTGCTTACCAACTTAAAAAGCACTAAAGTTTTTAACATGTCTATTTTCGCTTCGCTTATATATTTTTCCCCCACTTATTATGGTTACCCGTAACCCTTCTTCCATAAACGTTCCTCTTCGTTTATTTTTGACAATCTCATTTATTTTCTATTTTTTTTCCTTCAGCCGAATTGCTGCGCGTGTGTGGTGGTGGTGGTGGTGGTGGGGGATGTTACAAATTTTTCTTCATGTTTCTCACTTTTTTTCTTTCCTTATTTTTATGTATTTATTATTTATTTTACCTTTTTTTTACCTTTTTTTTACTTCCTTTTTGGTTAGGGGATTCCTTTTATTTCTTTTCAAAGACTTTCCATTTCTCAAGTGTATAAATCTTTAAGACCCCTGATAGGAACACAGCGAAACTGTCAAAATTATCAGGTAGGCAAAATAATTTCACGTTTCACTCTACCAGAAGAAAAATATAAAAAAAATGGCTTTCTGAATTTCTAACGGTTGTTATGACGTTCATTTAGGGGGAAGGAGAATCTGACGTTAGTAGTAGTAGTTGTTATTATTTAGTAACTAAAATTTACTTTTTGTACAACGCCACAAGTATGGAGTCTCCAGTGAGAATCGAACTCACTGCCTAGTCGTAATGGCAAAGGAGACCAGCTCGCTTGCTATTACCCCACGCTGAGGCGCTCTAAAATACCTTGGTTTTGGTACAGGGTCACACAAATATGCTATCTTGTGAAGATCGAGCTCGTTCAAGATGAAAGAATTACAACGAGGTGAACTATCATTACCGTTGTTGTTATTGCTGTTGTTGTGTCACTGATGTGTCAAAAATCACTATATGTAATGATAATGGTAGGTGGAGCTACTGTACCTTGACCGTATGGAAATGTCCACGCTTCAAGGCGATGGCATTTTAGGATTTGCTTTGCCACACTTATATCATCCGGTGAGTCATTGTGAAAACTATTTGGGCTGTTTATATCAAGATATGTATTATCAGAGCTCGAATGGAGCGTGATCGTGGAGGCTAGTCATGGAAGAGGGTAAAATTCTATTTCTGGAATTGTGGGGATATTCCTCGATCTGAGATGTCTGGTGTGTGTCGAGAATATTTGATGAAATGCATTTTCGCCCACTGTAGATAACGCAGTGTCCGACCATGGGCTTTTAATGATCGTGATCGGAAACTTCTGGCTAGAATTTTCCATAGTAACGGACAAGAGACACGCTGAAATCATACCCAATTCAATGGAGGTATAAGATGCTTATTCAGCAGGTCAGTTCTGTGTTCTTTAGCTTCCATGGGATATGAGAGCAACTCCTACCAGGATACATCTGTTAATATATGAAACAAAACACGGCGTCTCACCTAGGATCGTAATGTCATTAATTGCCCCCCCCCTCGATGAGTGGCAAAGTTTAAGATGGTCCGATGTGTTACGGATCCAGGCTGATGGTAAGGTTCGGTATGGTGAAGACCCCGTGTGGCCGTGTTGTCAGTAAAATACTGTGCAGGCTGGTGATAATTTCAAAAATTTTGCGGCGTGTGTTCCCGTGGGTTCGCTTAGACACGCCATTGAATAGTGACCGCTATATGGCATTGATTTATGACCATTTGCACTGATTCGTGACCATTTGCACTGAGTCATGGACTTAATGTACCCCAAAACAGTGGGTTATTCCAGCAGTATAATGCATCATGTCATCGGACCCCTTTTACCAAGAATTTGAGTTAAGAAGTTGAATTCTGGAGACGAATAATATTGTCCCCCCGTTCGTCCGACATCAGCCAAATCGATTGATTTACACCTTGAGATCCTACTCCTCCAAATGTCAAGGAGATTTGGACAGCTATTTAGACATCATGACTCAACATCTCTTCAGAAATCTTCCAACCACTTGTAAAATCAATGCCAAATAGAGTCACTGCATTTCGCCAGAATAGAGGGGAGCCTACATGATACTAGGCACCTTCCCCATGCCTTTAGGCATACAAATGTATGAACGTTACTTTTTTTCTACCTAGGACCAGAGAGTAGTATCTTCCCTGGCATTCAGATTTTAAATCAGTTACGTTTTCTGACCGAGAAACCTACATAATATTAAGCGAGAAGAAATTTTGAAAAAAAGAAAGAAATATGGAAACGGGGAATAGGGTGTAAATTAGGGAGAGTCTAGGAAGGAGAAAGTAAAAAAAAATAGATAAAAAATATAGGGAGAAAGTGAGATAGATATATATATATATATAGAGAGAGAGAGAGAGATAGGAACTGATGCAGACAAACGAAAGACAGACATGCTGAATGAATATGAAGAGACAAGGAGTCAGAGATTGAAAGGTATATAAAGATGAAAAGATTATTTATCTGTATACGCACGAAGTAAAATCGGACATAAGCTATATTTAATGTGCGGCCCTCGACGTGTTCATGGGAGTAGAGGCATTATTTGTTCATCTGCGGCTGGAAAGGCATACAAATTATAATACATTAAAATTTTATATGAAAAAAAAAAAAACAGACCAAAAGAAATATAAAAGAGGGATGCAGTAGATAAACTATTTACATATTGCTTTTTCCTTTTCCGCATAGGAGACAAATCCACATTTGTATAATATTTACATGAAAACGTAGTCGGGCAACGTAAATTGCAAGGGAGAAAATGATAAGATATAGGAAAAAGACGGGAAAAGAGCAAAGGCATGCAAGATAATGGATAATCTTAGTTGTCGACATTTGTGGAATTTCCATGAGGTCACCTAATTATTTTTATCGGTTAAAATATGGAGTAATGGTTATCAGCGTGGAAGGTGGAATCGCTGAGACGAGTTCAAGTTCCGCCCTAGTCTGTTGCATTGACTTTCGTACTTTTGCCTTTAAGAAAGGCATAACTCCATCTCTCCTCCTTCTCCCCTATCAGATATGGGTTAAATAACAAGGTAAAGTGGTCTCTCTTTAGGTGACAGCCAAACCTAGGCTGACTATCTTTCCCAACAGGTCATGGCAATTTAGAGATAATGAAGAAAAGGATTCTGTAGAGAGCCACGATCGCCTACATACTGAAAGAAAATGGTATTATAACTCCGAAAAATGACTTTTATAGACATTTGCTAATATCATGTGTTCTCTCATGAAAGTGTCGCTGTTAATATTAGAAAGTTACTAAAGATCGAAAGCACAATCTTTTGATCTATATTTCTTTTGGGATTTTTGCTGTAGTAAAATAAGTTCAGTAAATATCTACAAGTTCCTGGGCCTTATGACTGAGGCAGTTGCTTATTTTACATTGGTTCCTGTCGTTGGAATTCGAACGCTGGTTAAAGCTGCCATTTGAAATGTTCATTTTGAATGCGTACAAACACGGCCCGCTACTGCGACAAATGAACATCTGCAAAAGTTGGCCAGAAATCCGCTGATATCAGAGTAAAAGAGGGAAGAGGCAGCTGAGAATCGCTGTGCTTCTTGGCGGATTCTCTGTGCAGACATCATCGTTGCAGAGGAGAAGCGAACCAGATTGTGGTTGGACAAAAGAGAAAGAAGAAAAACTGTGATAGCAAGCACCCAAGTGCAGCTATCAATCTTCAAGTGCAGTGAATGTGCCAGCGACTGTGACACTGAAAAATAGGCTTGTTCAGCTACAGTTATGTCCTCAAATGGCGCGTCTAATGTCTAACTAGAGAGACAGGGGAAAAAAACTTTCTATTAAACGAAGCTTAGTAAATATCAAAATTCGTAGTAGAGATTAAAAACATTCCACCTTTTTATAGATTTTTTTTTAATGTGCCTTGTCCTCTTAGGACGTAGGAACTCATTGTTCTCCACATTTTCCTGTCCTTTGTATCGACAAGCAACGTTTGTCTTCTTGCCATCTCTCCTAGTCTCTGATCTGCCGGTATTTACCCGAACTACCCACGAGGCAACATGTGGCGAAAAGCCGATTTTTATGTCGTAGGCTCGGGCAAAAATCCCCTGGAGATCCCGCATACACGAAGTCGGGTTTGTCTACCTCCCCAGACGAGAACCTGCCAGTAAGCATAGCCCCTTCTGGGTTCCTCTATGCTCAAAGGCAGAGTGTTCGACAAGTCAAGATCCACTTCCGGAAGAAGAACCAGTCCCTGATCTGCCACTCATTTACATA